TGAAGCAAAAAGAAAGTTAAGTATGAACCAAGGGAGGTACAGGATATGACCATCGTGAAGGCATTTCGACAGCTTGCAAGTGCAACTCTGCTTGTTGGATCAAGAGTGATGCAATTCACCATGGACCTTGAACAAAAAAAAGAAATATCCTATCAATAAATATTCAAATATGAACTGCAAAAATAATAAATAAACGGAGTATTACATGTGTGAAACTTGGGTGACAGCCCAACCCACGTTGAAAATTGCAGCAAAAATGCTATAACCAATAGTTTGCAGTGTAGGCGAGTTACTGCCTATGATTTTACAGAAGAGGCAGCTACCAAATACAGAAGAGAAAGAGACAGCAACCAGAAAAGATCCTCCAGCATGCCATAGTTTGAAGTGCCCGAAGCAGTCTATCTGATTTGTAGAACATGCTCAGAAAATGATTCACAGGATATAATCTATTAAAACTTATCAAAATAGATATTTGAGTTAGAATATTAGAGGAAGCAGCCTTTTGTAAGGTTGTTGCTTCACCTCTTTTCTTCAAGATTTCTAGCAAGATTCACTCTTGCCTTAAATAGATTTTGCTCCAAATATAGCAAACCAACAGACCAATCAAGATGAGGAAGAAAAAGCGATATTTCCTGATCAAAGTTCAATATCCACAAAAGTTGCTTAAATTTTTAGCTACTAGTGATATCCAGAAAATCATTGAAATGCCCTTTCACCAAAGGTACTTGCTCAGATAAATGATTTCCATTCATAATTTTGTTTGATTAGCTCAGCAGCTTACAAGCAATGAGTTTGTTTTCAGTTTTAACTCATCTATGAAGAGTCAAAACACTCATGATATTGTGTCTATTTGTTCAACATCAATAACAACGTTTAGAAACAGGGATGATCATTATGCGCATAAATCTCTTGTAGATGGCCAATGAATATTTATCATAGGTTATGAGGCAAATAGAAGATATAATTGGCCAACAACTTCAGATATTCTAGAGGTGACATAATTTACTGATAAGTATCCGAGGTAATGATGGTGCTCAAAATTATAAATAAGTTCATACAACAAAAGAAGGAATAAAAAACTTGGCCAGAAAAGATTGGAGGATCTAACCAAGGCTGCATCTATAGATAAATTAATGTCTTAATTAATGGATCAAATCCACCATGTTTCAATTTATTTATTAAAGGATCTCCCAAAAGAAGCATCTATACCAGTTCTCCAGCAAATACTGTAGTGAAGGCATCAGCAATTTGGCCAGATAGCATGACAATGGCTGCATCCCTGCAAGTAATCAAGTATTTGTTGAAATCAAACTCTAAACTACATACTTACAATTTTCAGAAAATATTCTAAAAGAATTTCCGAGAGGACACTAAGAATATCTACAGCACAACAGAAAGAGCCTAATAATTTCTGGAATTATATAATCACAGATCATTGCTTAATAAGGAGCCTTGGAAAAATTGAACAAATTTTTAATGATCACAGAGCATATGTATGCAAAGCACCTATTGTTTAGTCTTTAGAGCTAATATAAAAGGTAATCTGTCCACTCCTAAAAAAAGATGGGGGTTAGCACAACTCAAGAAAACAAGAGAAAGTCTAGCTTAATCTGGATGACAATTTCTAATATAATGACAAATCTTCATCCCCAACCCGACTTTCAAGCCCCTTTCATATCAAAATGTATGTTCTTTTAGATACAAATAATGGAAGCTTATTCAAAAAAATCACCAAATTATTATGCTAGAGTGACGTGAGGCAATAAAGTCAATATTGTCACGGTGAATAGCCAAGGGCTATCAAGGAGCCTAAGAAATGCACTATTAATGAATTTTGTTTGGAATGTATCTTAAACAATCAAAGATTGTAAGACCAGTGATTTAGAAAGTGATAGGTGCCAACGTTCGAAAATGCCAAAGGCACTAGACACTTGCTTAGGTGCCCGCCCAAGTGAAACGAGATGCTATGAAATATTAAAATTAAAAAATATATAAAATATAATTAAATAAATAAAGATTAGCAATGCTAAAATCTAAATAGGGACTATCATACTATTAACGATATTTAATTTACTGTTAATAATAGTTGGAGGGGAGAAACAGTCACTAATGGTAGAAAGTGGGGAAGGAGAGGGTGGCAATAACAGAGGAACTTTCAGACGACGACGACAACGACAGCGATGGGGGAAGCTGCGAACAGTAGTAGTAGTGGTGGAGGAAGCTTTAAACAACAACAGCGGCGGTGGAGGAAGTTGCGGATGGCAACAGTAGGGATGGAGAAAGCATTGGATGGTGACAGCGACGACAACGAAAGCTGTGGACACAAGTAGGCGGAGGAAGCTTCATATGTATCCATCGGTGGCGGAGAAAGCTGCGATCCTCTCCCTCAATGGTGGAAGAAGCTGCACATGAAAGCAACAGTGGTGAAGGGAACTGCACACAAAAGCGAGACTTTCAGACCCATCCGTCGGCGATAGAGGAAGCGTCGATCCTGTGCGTCAGCATCGACAGCGGAAGCAGTGGCAGAGGAAGCAAAGGCAGCAGCTGTGCACGAAGTAGAGTTTATGGTTTGGGGTCGCGCGGGGGGGGGGGTGCAGGGTCTGCGTGCGCAAGTTTAGTAACATTATTCAGCTTAGTTGGTTCACTCGAACCACCTCAGCTACTGTTTAACCTAACACTTCGTTTCAATCGAGCGCTCGCTCGAGGTGTTTGGCGCCTAAGTTCAGGCGAGCGCTCAAGTGACGCTTCACTGAAGCACACTGTCTGGTCGAGGTTTGAGACGCTCAAGCCTCACCTCGCCTCACCCGAGCGCCTATTTAAACTACTGTGTAAGACGAGATAAGAAGCACACAAAAGTAAAAAAAAAAAAAACAATTCTTATACAATCAACTATTGCATGGGAGACTGCAAGACTGTCTTATCTTTACTTCATGGAAATACAAAATAAAAGTAATTAAGTGAGAAAATAGGTGAAAAACAAATAAGAAAAAGGTTTGTTTACCAGGAAAACACTTCAGGAAAAAGTCCAAAAATGAAGCAAACAGAAAAGTGAAACTTTATACCTTGGACTTAGTCCTATATCTGTCAGGAACAACAGCAAATAAGTAAACCAACATGCTGACGTGATATCATTTAGCATGTGACCAGCACCATACGAAAGTGCAGTTAATCTTCCTACAGGAGTCCCATTTTGTGCTTCTTCAGATGACGCGTCACCAACTAAATGGCGAACCATTGCAAAATACAAAACGATAATTTTCTTGAAAATGCCTCTGGTTTAATAGCCTGCATAGAGGAAGCAGAATCAGTCAACAGAAGGTTCTTGAATTGAAGTTATAAGCAAGTCTCATCATCAGAGACTACATTTAGTAAATATTTATGGCATTATAAAGCAAGACAAGACAAGGAAGGCTATCATCTACCTTCCTTTTAACGAAATTTAGGGTATGAAGGCAGGCAAAATCATCTACCTTGATATTCGACTTTTCAAGGGAAATCATTTACCTTGTTGACTTGAGTAATTTCTCCAGTCATTCCATATCAAGAAAACTCCAGAAGGATGAAAAATCGCATTATCTACTAATCCGTATATCACATTCCTTTACATGTAAAGAAGGTTTTGGCAAACAAGGAACCCCTGTCTTGCCTAAAGTTTTGCAGCAGTTCTTGAAAAATTGAAATCAAATTAATGGATAATAACACTAGTATCAATTTACTTCAACATCTTCAAAGCTGAAGAACCCACAGATTAACTATCTTATTCATGTTATACACAGAGGATATGTTAGTAGGTACCGCAGGTGAAATCAGCACCATTCGCCCACGTCGATAGAAATCAGCATCGTGCATAGCGCGCAAGACAGTAGGCAACGAATGAGACTCAAGAAAGTGCCATTCAAAGTCAATAAACAAAACTCAAGACAATGAATGAGTTCTTGGAATCCACTCAGAGCATCAAACCCAGGTACCTTCGCAAACCAATCGACACAAGACACGATAAACACCACCAAGGCAGTCGATCTCAGATCGTGCAACCAAGATTTGCACACAAAGAATCACCAACTGTTTCTGCGGAGGAGAAGAGGAGGCAACAATACCTGTTAGATCGGGCCAAGGGGGTGGGACGATGAAGCCAGCGCTCGTCGCTCCAGTTTATATAGAGGATCGAATCAAACAAGCAGGAGATATTCCACATGATGGCGTGGAAATTCGTAGGCTTAATCCCCTCCTCTCCCAGTTTCCGGCGTTCAATCGTTCTGTTCTTCACCACTTCAAGACGCATTTGCGCCATCTTTTCTTCTTCTGGCGGCGATCGGAAGCGCGGATCCCGTCCATTTCTAGTTCTAGTCGAACCTTCCAATTCCGGGATCAGTACGCACACGCGTCGACATGACAGCGGGTCGGGTTTTTTAAGCCGGGCTATGAAACCCGCTCGAGCCGGATCGAGAGCATGAATACAAAATAAGCATTGGAGTGGGATTTGGGATTAGTTTGGCTGGTAATCGGGTTTAGAAGATGATAGCGGATCCGCTAATGCGACTAACTCGGGATGAGTGTTGGAGGAAATCTCGGTCTTGTGTGTTGGGAGTTTGAACATGGAACCCAGTAAACATTGGACACGTACTACCATTGCGTTTTGGTTGGACACGTGTCGTGGCATCACCGAGGGGACGACTCGCGAAGTCCACTATCGAAGCTATAATACGTGTGGTAAGAGAACAACTCAAGACGATATTTTGGAGACATGAAAGTTTGCACGTCATGTTCGACCATTTGCATACATCGATCCTATCTACTTATCCAAACCATAGAAATATGACATGCTTCATAACAGGTGTAGATGCAGAGAACCAAGCTTTGATGTGCGTTGGATGATTGAAGGTAGAAGATGATGAGGTTTCATTGGGTTGTGTATTTAGAGCTTGAAATATCGAGGGCTTTTTTGGGCCTTCCACACCCTAATTTAGCATCCGAGAAGATTGCGACACAAGATCGATCATCCAAAAGATTGTGACAGGATGGAAAGGATCACCACGTTGCAGCCACAAAATACATATAATAATAGTTTGACCGACACTAGTGATGAACTTGAGGCAGAACTAATCATCAAGAACATCTCGCAGGCTCAAAGACATGAAAGCAAAGAAAGTATGGTAGCGATAAGCGGAAATATAGTAACGTAGGTGTGGCTGCAGCAGCAGATTTAGATGAGTTTAGTCATCAACGCCGAGGGCATATTGCATGAGCATTTGGCCGCAGGAGGCGAGAGGCACGTCCTTGAGGAAGCCCAAAGAATTGGCGTAGCGAACGCTGGAGGTGATCCCAACATTGTGGGTGAGCACAACAGCCGCGTGGTTCCTCCCGTCGCTGATCTCGGAGCAGTCGCTACGAGGGCTCGACACCAGCATCACCGCGCAGGATTCCTCTTGGTGGTCGTCGGACACGGGGATTTGGTAGGTTCCCTTGTTGTTCGTCACTGCCACCGCGGTCAAGGTGCTCGCGCCCGTCGTGTAGTTCTTGCACTCCAGCTTCACCTTGGCACCTGAAGTCACTGCGTTAGCATTCCAAGGCTGCGCATTTAGGGACATAAATGAGACGATCAGCGATAACCTTCGATGTACTCGGTGGCCTTCGTCTCGAAGCCGGCGCGGCAAGTGTCGCAGTAGACGCGGCCTTCTACGACAAGATTTGGAGCGGCGATTGCGAAGCCCACCATGCAAAGGAAGGTGGAGAGGAGGCAGAGTGCAGTGAACACGCGAAGGTGACTTGCCATGATCGAAAGAAGACTACGTTTCTGACGGGAACAAAGTGAGAGAAAGGGAGGATAGGCAGTGAATGAAATCAAAGCTTGGATTGCTCATCCTTAAATACCTATCCAATGCCTTTTCTTCTTGAGATGGATGGATGATGAGTTGGTCTACGGAAAGGCAGGGAATTAAGCTTGAATGAGACATGTGTATGGCTTCGTTGCTGTGGAGGACTGATTCCAAACTATCTATCTTGCTTTTATTAGATATCAAGTGTTTGTTGTCATTCAATTGGAGAGAAAATCCAATATATTAATTAATATATAAAAGAATATATTGTCACATTGGCTAGAAAACCTCTCTTTCTAGAGTTCAGTTTATTTTTGATATTTATTTAGAAAATATATTATTGATGAAAAACATTATTCCACTTAGTAATAGAGTATATAGTTTTCTTACATCATGCATATATGCCATTTACATCATACAACACAATGGCTCTATAATACTACTGTTCAGAAACCCCATGGTGAAAGCATCACGGGATTCACACTTCATTCACCCACCGTCTTCCTTGTATGCTTTGGTGTTGTAATCGCTCATTGCTCACAAGAATGCAACCTGTGCTGCTCTGCGGTATCTATTTCATTAGCTTCGCGGCACTCCTCTTCTTGGAGTTGTGTCTCGCCTTGATCAACTTGTTGAGAACCTTCACGTACCGGCTGACCATTCCGGCGACTGTCACCCCACCTGTGGAGTCGGCTTGCTTCAGAACCACCGCGAGCTTCTTCTCCGACTCACCGTAGTCGGTCGCAGCTGCAGGTGGTGCGTTCTTCTCCTCCGCCGACACATCCGTGAGTTTGCGAACGTCACCTTTGCGGTCGTCCGTGTCTGCATCAGCCTTCTCCCCTTTGCTGCTGCTGCTATCGCCGCCTTCCACCATTAGTTCCTGCAACGACATGCGTTGGAGGCCTTCGTCTTTCTGTAGCTGCGACTCGGACTCCCCGTTCAGGTCTTCCTGGGAGATCTTGATGGGCCTCCGTGTTCTTCTGGACATGCTTGGATCATAACGACGGTGCTTACTGGGATCATGGTGCGTCTCCATGGCCGTAGATGGATGGATTCAGAAGGACCACCTGAGCGCCCTCTTATTGCTTCTTCCGGTAAGGGAAGGAACAGAATACCTCACCGACTTCTTGTTTGTGTGCAACTCAAGGTTAGGAGAGGAGGGAAGGTGGAATGTCAATTTTTACTTGGTTAAGTGAATTTGAGATATGAACGTCTCTCCCACTGTCGTCCTTTGGATTCACATCGGAGTGCGACCCGAGAGAGAGAGAGAGAGAGAGAGAGAGAGAT